TGGTGGCAAAGTAAAAAAGAAAAGAAAAAAGATAAGAAAAAAGACAACAATTAAGGACAAGTGTGTGCTTTTTCATCGTTTGACCTCGGTCACAGCCTTCTCTCCATTATTTGAGCAAATGCCATCTTCCTGAGTCACTTCTCTCCTCCATCACAGCGGCTGTGCATATCACTTTTGCGTTGCTTGCGGAGCCTGCGCTTGTGCTCGGTTGATGACTGTCCTCCTCCTCATTCACTTGTTCACTTTCGCTGGTAATATTTTCCTCTGTACCTCTCTTCCGAATACCTCCCGTTTTGAGCCACGTTTTTAACATCATTCAGCTTTCTTCTTTCTTTAGCTTGCTTGCAACGTTAGCGGGTAGTAAGGTCGTAATTAGCAACGCCAGAAATACAATTAAAAAAATGTTTTCATTTCTAAATCTAAAAACAGCAATAGCCTATTAGAACTCATTTAAACCACATTTTCAATTATCTCAAGCTTATCTTCATTCGTTGTAGTATTTTGATAGTATGATTTATTTTTTAATTGATGTTATTCAATCAAGCCTCAAACTGATGTCACTTGTCCCTATAGCCTGTTTTAAATTGAAGTTGTCTGAGGTCCTTACCATCAGCTGTTCTTGCAGTAATAAGTTGGACATTTTTAATGTCCAAAATGTGCACAATATGTGTCAATATACTGCTTTTCATCTTTTTGTTTACTTAGTTGTGTTTCCTTTATTTTATATGTCTGTGTTATTTGTAAAGGTTAAAGGTAGGGTAGGTAAGTTTGAGAAACCGGCTCGAGATACACTTTTTGTTATATTCCATGGAATGCTCTTAACATCCCGATAGCAATGAATATCTTAAGTGCTTTGACCAAAAATCCATAAAAAATGTCATCTGTGGAAGCCGTGGTACTGTAAAAAGTATGACCAATCATTTTAGCCGGCCTGGCTAAAATAACTGGATGGCCTACCTGTCAGCCTTCCATCTGTGCACAAACTTATCTCGTGCCCTCATTGGTCATGTGCGCGTTTGTGTGTGTTGGAGGAGGGGCTCTGTAAGGAAGTGGAAGATGATCTCCGGTCGTGTATTTTCAAATTCTAGCGATCTCGAGCCGGTTTCTCACACTTACATACCCTACCTTTATATAATAATAATAATAGCGCTTTTCCTGGTGCTCAAAGTGCTTTACAAGCAAGCAATGAAGAAAAATAACAACAAAAGTAGAAAAGTGCTAAGCTAGGTGGAATAAGGGCGAGGGGTTAGTGGATTAGGAGTCGAAGGCAAGAGTGAAAAGGTGAGTTTTGAGGGGTTGTTTGAATGATGTGAGAGTGTTGGCAGATCGGATGTGGCTGGGGAGGGAGTTCCAGAGTGAGGGGGAGGCTGCTGCGAAATACGTAACTGTTGGTCATTTCCTTTGCTGCACTAACAATCCAGCCATACTTCATTTTTGTCCAAGGTGCCCCTGGTGGTGTTCAAACGTGAGAAGGAGATAGCGAGGAAGTTGGAGTTTGCCGGCCTCTACATCACAGAGCAGCCGTCAGATGATGACATCAAAGGGCAGTGGGACAGATTGGTCATCAATACTCCGTGAGTCAACCACAGTAAAGCTGCTCACCTCTGAGACATCATTTATTATTAACAAAGGATTAAACTTGTTTGTTTGTTTTTTCCTGTTTGTACCAGATCCTTCCCCAACAACTATTGGGACAAATTTGTCAAACGCAAAGTAAGTGCAATATTTTTTTTGTATCTGTTATGCAAACACACTGTAAACCCCATCTGGTGATACTTAACTTTGTTTTGGTTTTTGCTGCTTTCTGTAGGTGATCAAAAAGTACGGAGACCTGTATGGAGCTGAGAGGATAGCAGAGCTGCTAGGGATGGATAAGAGCGCCCTTGATTTCAACCCTACAGAGGAAACTGTCGCCAAAGAGGCCTCGCTTGTGTCATGGTGAGGGAATAAACATAAAGCAATAGATGTCATATCGAAAATATAAACCTCTAACATCAACCCTTTTTTTTTGCCAGGCTGAGCTCAATCGACACAAAGTATCATGTGTGGAAATTGGGAGTGGTGTTTACGGACAATGTAAGTTTGAACACAGCTTAGCGTGTTTCCATTTGAGGTTATATGGTGACTGATTTGATGGATGGGTTGATGATGATCTTATAACCAGACAGATGGGTTCTGATTAATTTCTCATTGTGTTTTCCTGCCAGTCCTTCCTGTATCTGGTGTGGTACACCACCATGTCCATCCTGGGTCACTACAACAACTTCTTCTTCGCTGCTCACCTGCTGGACATCGCCATGGGGTTCAAGACCCTCCGCACCATCCTCTCCTCCGTCACACATAATGGCAAACAGGTATTGATGAGGAGGACGCAGCTCTTCCTCTGAGCTGTAGGGGGCACTGCGGAGTTAGTGGTCAGGGTCGGGTTGTAACCACCGTCTGTTTACAGTCTGATGTGCAACCACAAGACACTTTTGTCACAGTTTGCATGTTCCTGCCCCACAGATGGCATTGTGTGGGTAGTACTACTGGCAAGGCTCTCTGCTATCTGTGATCTGCTGCAGAATTGTGTAAGGGGGTGTTTCTTTTACAAACTTAAAGCTGCTTTAAGCATTTTTTGACCACCAGGGTACAGAATGACTCTACGCCTAAATCTGATATTAGCAAAATTGACATCCCCTTCATTATAACCACCTCTTTACTCTGATTTGATCCATCTACTCCTGGTGGAATTATGTTTTTTCACATTTTCTGTACACAGAGGTATTGCATTAGTGTCTTGTGTCACCTTCTGTGCATCGTGTTGTAAGGGATGTTAACCTGATGCTCGGTTGAGCAATAACGTGTCAACCAGCAAATATTGTATGTGTTTAGTCAATTATAGTACCTTTAATCCCCCCTGTGAGGAGATCGGGAGAACTAAGTCAAAACAGAGATTTAAGGAGAGCAGGCAAGGACGCATACACGTTCATTTAGATTCACCCAGTATCCTTTGGCATTTGAGTTCAAATAGCTCAATCCCTTTATTTCACTGACTGTAAATCCTTGCAGGGGATTGTCATGTCAACTGACCACAGGCACAAATCAGAATGTAATGTCAACTCAATCTCCAAGGGTGGGAGTGCACCCAAATTGCGATGCCGTGAGGAATCGTCGACACCTCCCACACTCAGCTGTCTGCGGCCAGATCAATCACAGCGGGAAAACCAATGCAGCTTACTGCTGCTTCCACTGTTATTGCTGTTTAGTTTCATTGGTGCAGGAGCTACATCAAGAGCTTTGAATCTGTTGAAAATAATTATTTATATAAATACAAAACCGATGTTGTTTTTTATGCTGTTTTTTACTCATTGAACTCGTCCTTTCTTAGACAGCTTGTCTAGTGTGTCTCTACCCCAGGAAGTTGGAAGTGACATTTTTCTGATTGACGTCTGTGTTTCTCTTCAGCTGGTGTTGACGGTCGGCCTGCTGGCAGTTGTGGTCTATCTCTACACTGTGGTGGCCTTCAACTTCTTCAGGAAGTTCTACAATAAGAGCGAAGACGAGGATGAGCCAGATATGAAGTGTGACGACATGATGACTGTAAGTAGCAAAGTTATTTAAAGGTCACCTGTTCACTGACTTTTTGCCCTGATCCATTTATATAAAAACCTGTCTGAAAATGAGCTGATCAGATTCTTGCTACTTTATGATGTCATAACGATTGTTTGGCTTGTGTAACCATTAGCCAATAAGCTACCAAGGTAACACCCCCCACCTTATCACCTGAATCTCCTCCTAGAGCACCATTAGGCGCATTCACACCGCAGTACTTTTCCCACTGAGTTCCGATATAGTTCCGAAATGTTGCGTTGACACCAAAAAAAAACGGAACTAAAATGAGTTAATGAGAACCTTTTTACCCCCTTTTCCGTCCCGTTTCTCGTGGGGAAAAAAAGGTTCCTATTTCTGATTGGCTGGGAGGATTGCAAACCACGCCCCGCAAAACTCCCAAAAAGTTTTGTGAAGCCGCCATTTATGCTAATGCTAATACATTAGCATTAGCCCAGCACAGAAACGCAGAGAGACTAATTTATGGCAACACAAAAGAAAACATGGGAGCGGTGGAGATGAGGAG